ACAAAATCCACCTGATGGTAAGTGGTTGCTGTGGTCCATAGACATCTATATCTATCCTCGTTTGCAGTGTTGTCAGCCGTGAGGACTAAGATGGAATACTTCTTTTCTGGTAAAAAGGGTCTCCGGTTCTCTACAGTACGAAACACAGCAGCATTGAGCTGCTGTTTTATGCTGGTATTCTGTCCGAGCGTGATCCTTCTCCGGTCGAGCCGACCCATTCGTGCTTCAACCATAATATAGCTGCAGCGTGACTCTACCATGTAAAGTTATTGCTATTCAGTAGTTTCATCCTGACAATGTACAAAAAGGAAAAAATGAAATGAAAAATAGTAGATACCTGAGCGACAGAGCGTTTGACCGTGCAAAGGTGATATAAGAATGTCCACTTCCCCATATCTTCCCGTGGGTGCCGTAAAAGACGACAGAGGGTAAAACTAGAAGATGGGCAACAGCATCTTCCTAATAAAAACCAAAAAATAAAATAGATTTCAGTTGCCAATCCGACTGCCAAGCGTGGCAACTATGGCAAATATTCCCCTATGAGACAATCTACGAGGGGAGGCCTATGTTGTTGGGCTGTAACGTACAGAGATTTGCCTAGCCTTAGAAAAAAAATATCTCACGGTTGAAACGATCTAGATGAACTTTGAAAGTAAAACATCATCTAAATACAAAATTTCAATCCAAATCGCTAAATTTTTCGAAAAACCCATTTACAAAAGTTTCTAACCTAACTTAGAGTATAGAACAAATTGTCTATGTATATATTTTCAGACCTTTGTTACTTATTTTATTTTTTATTTTAGCTTTGTTCATCGATTCCAATGATCCTTTTGCCATAGCCTAGTATCGTCGACCCAGCCCTGACATACAAACAACTTCGACCGCACTTGACTCGCGGCGGAAGAAAACGCCCATACTTTACGACCTGATAACTTCATGTTTTTTATTGTTACGGCTTGTGTAATTGCAAGTTGACTTCCTCACTAAAAATTTTGCAACACTCGATTGTTCTTTATTAAGTTGTAACGAGGACTAAGGAGTAATATAATTCGTCGTTGTTGAACAATTAACACAACGTCAATTCGAAAATCCACGGTCTTGCTCTTTTAATCATTGATTAGGGCAGACTTAAATTAACCATCGATTAACTGTATACCTATTTCTTTCTATTATCATTTAGTAAAAAGAGAGAGAGCAACTTTAAGCGCTTTCTTACATTAACGTCGATTTTATGAATAAAACCGATCATTCTTATATCTTTACTATAGCTATTACCTGTCCGCTTTACTAGGCGTTATTTTAGTAACTATTGCCGTATAGCGGTGTAAGGGAATCCACTATCTCATATCATCCCGTCGATGTCGTAAGAGATGACAGAGAGGGAGGGAAATAACTCTTCGAAATTTAAAACGATATTTTTCAACTATTTCTTCTGCGGTTGCAATGCGCCGGGTACCAGGTAGTTTTCATAACAGATTAAACAGTCATGTCGGCTCTACGTTCGATATTGTACAGAATGTAGGTAAATTAAATTCAATCAATAACAAATAATACCGTATTATTCAGTTTGCCAATAAACTATACAAAATTAATGCGTAAAACAATTTTATTACAATTTTTTGTAATATCATAAGCCTGTTGTTTTCTTCCGTTGCAATAAAGTCACGTTAAAGGAATTTTCGAATCATACATCTGAAGGTGAAGTTTTACTACGGAGTGACTCAACCGTTATCCTATCTGAAGTATGTATTGCGTCGTAGATCTTGGGTTCGAATCTCATGTAAAGCCAATTTAATAATTAATATAGCACATCGTAAATATTAAATTCGGATTTAGGTGCACCTATTGTGATTATTCCCGGAATTGTGTCACCACTCTCTCCCGACCAATCTCTCCCGAAAACTATTATTAGGTACTCTAATGCAAAGATTCCTAAAGTGGGTTCCACCACTTTAAAAAAAGTCACCAGAGCTCCGCAAAGTCCAATTTTTACTAATTTTATTTAATTCTTTATATATTATCCAATATAAGCAAATGATTGTTCTAAAAACAGTTGCGTTTTACAAAAATCCAATTCCATCTGATCTATATACATAAGTACATATTTATTGATAATACGTAGGTCACTCAGTAATTTTGAGATATACAAAAAGTATTCTAGATACTATTAATATTACAAAGTTCCATTCGCCTTAACCAATTCTGAAAACATTTTTGCCAGTCTTGATCTGACAAGCTTCTTCGGCGCTTGAAAAAAACTTGCCTTTTATTTTTTCTTTGACTCTTGGGAACAAAACGAAAACACAATGAACTAAATCAGGGCTGTAGGGTAGGTGACTTAAAGTTTCAACAACAGATTTCTCAATAAATGCTTTTGTTCTAAGGGAGGTAGGTGAAGAGGCGTTATCGTGATGCAGCATGATACCCCGAAGCCCGGTTTTTGGTCTTCTCTCCCGCACAGCTTGAAAAGCTTTGGGTAATGCAACTGTAGCATACCATTCAGAGTTGACTGACCTACAATTTTCCAGCATTAACGTCGACAAATGTCCGCTCCGCGAAAAAAAACTAGCCATCATTTTTTTGCCGACGTTGCGAGGTCTCTGAAGTTTTGTCGGTAAATGTCCTTCTGAGTAGACCCATACCAATGATTGCCTTTTATTTTTAGATCATATTGATAGATTCATGTCTCGTCACCAGTAACGATTTCTGAAACATGCCTAGATGCCCCATTTTCAAAACGTAGACGCATTTCATGACACCAATCCACACGAGTCTGTTTTTCGCTTTCGGAGAGTAGACGAGGGATCCATCGACAACAAATCTTCCTCACTCCAAGATATTGATGTAGGATGGTATGAATGATCCCGAACTAATGCCTACAATCTTTTCGATGTCCGTATATGTGATTCGTGGATGTTCTCGTACCAACATTTCGGTAGTCCATACATTTTCTGCCGTTACTGCTGTTTGCGGGGCCCCGGTTCTTTGGTCATCTTTAAGATTAATTTTACCCGTTCTGAATTCAGCAAACCACCTAAAATTGTAGCGCATGATGAAGCTGAGTCTCCTAATGCTGATTGTAACCGTTTTAAACTTAATTGTTAGGTTAAACCAAATTTAAAATCATAATATATCATAGCGCGCAAATGTTCACGGTTAAGATCCATCGTTTTAAATGGAAAGCGCGGGAAATGTTGCAGGAAAATTAATAGAACTTTGTTTTTTTTTTTTAATATTGAGCAATTGGCTTATGGAGTTCTATTTTTAAATAAATTTGCTTTTTAGAAACATATAACACGGGTGCGTTCCATTTTTAAATTTCGAGCATGTCAAAACTTATTGAGTGACCTACGTGTCGGGTTTTCTTTTCCATGTGTACATTATATTTTGGTTCGCATATTTCCGCGGAAACTTCTATTTAGAATCGGTTTCACGAAAGAGAAAGAGGTTTTAATTATACGAGTACTTATCGTAATTAATGGTAAATTGTTGTTTAATTAGGAATGAATAGAATATAGTTACGTTATTGTCTAAAACAGCTGCAAGTGTGACACACGAGCACACACACACACCACCTGATGGTAAGTGTACGCTGTGGCCCATAAACCTGTGGATGCATTGTCGCCTGTGAGCCCAAAGGGATAAAAATTTCACACAATATCAGCGTAAAATAGCAGCTTAACGCTGCTGTGTTTCGTATAGTGAGTGTAGAAAACCGCAGACCCTTTTTTACTGGTAAAGAGACATTCAATCTTAGTTCCCACGCCTGACAACGCATCTGCATTTTGATTCGCAAACTGAGATGGATTTATATATCTTTGGGCCACAGCAACCACTTACTATCAGGTGGGCTATGTGCTCGCTGGTCACCCTTATCCTAAAAAAAGTTGGCTAAACGCATTCACGATAAAGAAGAAAATACTACGGGGTAAACACTCTTGCTATAATTAATAGAATCCGGTTACGTTACTTTGCGGAAATCCATTAGTTTAGTTTGAAGAGCACCTCCCACCTCCCTCAATTTTGTAAAGACACACTAGCCTCGATAATAGACACGAGTTTTGCATCTACCCGAGGTATCCTCAGGTGAAGTAGACTCTGCGGCGGCTGACCGTTAGCGCTAAGCATATGTAGGAAGTATAGTGGGTATAGTACAGAGACTGATTTTGTAGTTAGGAATAATAATTAATTCGTTTACACGAATTAATTATCCAATGAGTCGAGGATAAACTAGTAACGGAATACGACAAGTGTACCGTTCCACGTCAGAGCCAAGACTGTCTTAACGGCGGCCGCTCAGTCCGTTTTATACAAGCAGGACGGGCGGCAACGCAGGTGCGATGCCGCAGGTGTGCGGTACACGTGTCGTTTACAAGAATTCTGTCTTGCTAGACCGACGCCACCGCATCTACAACGGTGCAGGTGCCGTCACATACATAATCTTGCCCAGTCTCAAGCACAGGCGCAAAGTAGCCAGTCTCTTGGTGTTTTATATTAATAAGAAGAGTGTGCGAGAGAAATTACATGTTTTAACTTCTCCCTCATCTTTCCACAATAGGATAAAGTTGGACAGTCGGCTGTCCTCCATTCCTTTTTATAGATATTTCATACATTCGAGACAAACGGTTTGTTTCATCTTTTATTAGGCGTATAATAAGAGAATGGATGAATTTACCGCCTCTCTGCAGTCTGCATTCCCATCCGATTGCAATCGAAGTATCTACAAGGCAAGAGTAATCACACTGTGTTAGCGTACGATTTTCCATTTCGGACTTCACCACCTGTTACTACCATAGTCAAGTAGTAGATTGTAATAAGTAAAAAAAAAAGTTTCTTTTTAAACAAACAAAAAATAAAAAACCTATTCTACGACAAATAGGAAAAAATTAGCGTTTTTTTTTTAATAATATTTATGAACAATTCACACATTAATTATGTTTTTGTTTACAATGCATATGTTATATAACCTGTGCAAATATTGTTGCAGGCGCGCGTCGATGATGTCGCCGAGGCAACTCATGCGCAACTCGAACATGACGCAGAAGTGGCAAAGGCGTGAGATATCCAATTTCGAGTATCTCATGTTTCTCAACACTATTTCAGGTGAGTTTCTTTTTTTTTTTTAAGCAGTCATTCGACAGATATTGTTAGTCACGTGCAAAAGTATTATATTAAAAGTATATAAAATCTCCGCTCAAGCAGAGAGTTCATCGAATAGAATGTTAAATAACACATAACACTAACATAAGAAATAAATAAATAACAAAAATATTTTATGTAAACTGTCTTGGATTATGTATTAGTATACAAGTACTACTATATATTTATTTACTAGCTGGCCAGGCAGACGTTGTTCTGCCCTATCCGATGACCCTTTGTCCTATAAAAATCCTTAAATCGTAATAAAATATATTGTGGTTCACTTATCGGGATAAAAATTATCCTATCTCGCAAGTAACACCAAACTGCACGCAGTGTGCAAAACTTCATTGAAATCAGTTCAGTAGTTTAGTAGTTCATCGCGGACAAACAATGTGACACGTAATTTTTATATATAAAGATTTTACTATAAAAATTAGTTTTAGAACCAATTTTTTATAGTAAAAAGAAGTAAAATCAATAAAATAAACTAAAGCCTACTTAACTTAAAACAAGAACGATATAACATCACGTGAAACATAGAGCATAGAAAATTCCCTCAGAAACCTACTAAAACTGGCCCGGACTCTGCGAAAAGATCTAGGGATCCGTCCATCTTCCCACGAGTGATTTCTGCATCTCGTCAACAGCGCCACCTACCAGGTGTAGCTAAGAACCATCCAGGTGACTTCATAATACCCCCCATAAATATTTCATCAAAATCGGTCAAACCGTTTAGAAACAGCAAAGTTACGAACACACGCACATTGGAATATTATATATGAATATAGATTTATATTTCTTTTATTAGGGGTGCGATGCATTAATCCTTTGTAACACCATACAATACAAATAACACGATTTTCCGTTTAGTGGCGGTGTAAGAATATCCACTACCCCATATCATCCCGTGGTTGTTGTAGAGAGGCGACGAAGGGAAAATGAACCAGGAGATGGGCTGCAGCATCTTCTTGATAATGACTGTATAAAAATAAAAACTACGGTTGCCAACCCGCTTGCCAAGCTATATACATCAGTGGGCTTTTAAAGGCTGTAATGCAATTTAACACGATGCTAAGTCAAGGCAATTGAGGAGCGCAGTACACACACAGACGGCTCCGTAGCGCAGTGGCTTAGAACCGCGGGTTCGAATCCCGCATGGAACAAGTATTTGTAAGGCCTACAAATAATTGTTCCGGGTCTGGATGTTTGTCCTTGTACAATTTATGTTTCTAAACTGCCTCCACGATACAGGAGAAAATCTTAGTGTTGGATCTAGATGCGTGAGTGTCGTGGAACACACAGTTGGCACGACGCTCCTTTCGTGGTATATTATTATTGATAAACGTATTATATTATTGATTAACAAATACAAATAAGTGAATTACTATTTAATTAAAATGAAGCGTCATTTAAAATTAAATAATATTTCTTTCATGTCAAGATAAGAAAAAGTGCATAGGAGATGTATATTATTCCATCTCGCTTCCTTATAGCCAAGGCCGTCTACACTACGTCAAAAGGGTTTGTGACGGATAACTCTTACACATTTTCTCGCCTAGCCCCTACCCGCCAAATTCGTACCATCTCAAAAGGAACTTCGTTCCGAAAAGAAAAATAAACAAGTACTAGAAGGCTTTCACCTTTATGACTATTGTTCTTCTGTGTGGATACTTCAGCATAAACGAGATAGCTATACTGCAATCTATCTGCCACATTACCATCGTAATATAGCAGCATAATGCTGCTGTGTTTCAGCAATAGACAGCACACATTTTCAGTCAATTTGCAGTCACTATTACATACAGTGCTGTACTCAATAGTCTTCGAACTTATGATATAACACTTATTTGGCTTTTATTACATAAGTATCACGTTACAGAATAGTCGCGATCGCGCAATCGTGAATGTTTTTTGTTAGCGTCTATTGATTTGCGAATTTCACATATTTTCCTAGCAAACGTTATACGTGATAGAGCCACGCTGCATATATATTATTGTTGTAGCACAAATAAGTCGGCTCGACCGGGGAAGGGTCACGTTCAAATAAAATAACAGCTTAAAATAGCAGTCTAACGCTCCTATGTGTCGTATGGTGAGTGTAGAGAACTGGAGACCCTTTTCACTGGAAACGAGGCATTCCATATTAGTCATCACGGGTTTTTTTTACTTACTATAAACCAGTGCTTGACCACAATCCCACCTGGTGGTAAGTGGTGATATGGAATTTGCCGTACGTATTACAAAAGACGAAGCAAAACCGTTTGGTTCTAATGCGTGGAATATCGACAACAAAGGGATGACAAACCTGGGTATGCCAGAAGAAGCATAAAAGTAAGTTGAATGCAGTGGAGATGCGATCTCTTCGTAAAATGTGCGGCGTTACCATGGCCGACCGAAAGCGAAACGAAGAGATTCGCAATATGGCAGGTTTGAAAGATGACCTTATCACAAAAATTGATAAGGGCGTGCTTCGGTGGTTTGGGCACGTTGAGCGAATGAGTGAAGACCGAATGGTGAAGAAAATATATAGCGCGAAAGTTAATATTAAAAGGTGTCGAGGTAGACCGAGACTAACTTTCGAAGACCATGTGAACAAATTGCTCGAAGAGGGTAGGGTCAAAAGTACTCGGATACCTAGACGTGCATGCAAGAAGAAGATAATGAATCTGAAAGAAGCGAAAGAGGTTTGTAAGGATCGTGACACTTGGCGAACTGTTCTCTCTGGCTACCCCGTCAGGGATTGTGCGTGAAGATAAGGAAAGGGATGACGACCCGCCGACCGCCTGGTTGTCCGATGGTGGAAAGGAGAGTGAGGAATTATATCATGTAATTGGTGACAACACATCTGCATTTTGATTCGTAATCGAGGATAGATGTAGATGTCTATAGGCCTCAGCAACTCCTTAATATTGGGTGGACTATTTGCTCGCTTGTCAACTTGTATGTGTGTACCAATGTACCGGTGACAAACGCGCCTGGTACATTGTAGGTCTCGATTACCAAAAGTGTTACTTCTTCCTAACCATGTACACTGACGGATATGAGCCTCTCTCGTTAAAGGAAGGATTTTCCTGAAATGCTCTGATTGGCATACGGATTGACAATCACTATAAAAGACTTCTCTCAGCTTTGTCACCCTAGTCCTATATGAAAAATCTTATCAAAATTTACATAACTTCAGAATTTAAGCCTCAAAATTACAAAAGTAATTATATCTGTGGTGTGGTTTGTCGTTTCTTACCGTGCCAATCCCGCCAGTCACGTTAAAAAAATCGTATATTACAATAAGAATTTAGATATGTACACACTTACATAATTTCTGATTATTTTCGTATAAACTCTTCAACCCTTAGAAAAAGGATTTTTTTTTAATTTAAACTTCACTGAAGCCGATTTTTATTAATAAAGTAAATGTTCAATTAATGTCACCATCAAAACCACAGTTTCTATTAACTATTTCAAGAATACCAATATGCGATTAGTGTTATCAGAACGTTAGTTACAAACGGTAGACGGGTTTGAAACTGTGGTACATGCCTACACAGCTGGTATCACGGTTAAGTTGTTGACCCTCTTTTTATTTTACATATCTTTAACTATCACATTATCAGGCTCCTGTTCTCCACAGACCTCTTTTATAAAAGAAGGGTGACAATCGATCACAGTACACATGTTGGATGATGCAGCTCATATATTAATTATAACACCTACATATATTAACTATTATTTTTAAATAAATAAAAAAACCATTGACTCCACAGTCAATATGAGGGAGTAGTTAACATACATAAACTTCACAAGCATAAACATCCAAATCCGGAACAGTTATTTGTAGGCTATACTAATACTTTTCCGTGCGAGATTCGAACCCGCGGCTCTTAGCGCTACAACTCATAGCTGAGCCACTGCACCACGGAGCTGTCTAATTTATCAAAATCCAGATGTGATAACGCATGGGTAGCAGCATCTTATTGATAACAACTCAAAAGAATAAAAAACTGCGGTTGCCAATACTCCTGCCAAGCGTTGCAACTATGGCAAAATCATCCCTATGGGGCAATCTATGGAAGACACCTATGGTCAGCAGTACGTTACGGACTCCTGAGTGTGACGCTTGAGTGAGAAAAGTTTATGCAAGTTTAAAATTATTAAGATGTTATTTAACTCATAAATAACAAGGGCAGAAAAATAGTTGACAAAAATTTATATTTTTCTATGATTTTTCAAATAAAAATGTGTTTTAATTAAAGCCACAGAAAAAACATACATTTTTTTTTATAGGATATGGTGACAAACGGGCACACAGTCCACCTGATGGTAAGTGGCTGCTGTGGCCCATAGACATCTACATCTATCCTCGTTTGCGAATCAAAATGCAGATACGTTGCCACCCGTGAGGACTAAGATGGAATGCCTCTTTTCCTGTAAAATGGGTCTCCTTAACGGTCAGCTTAACGCTGCTGTGTTTCGTATGGTGAGTGTAGAGAACCGGAGACCCTTTTTACTGACAAAGAGGCATTCCATCTTAGTCCTCACGGGTGACAACGCATCTACATCTTGAGTCTTTATTGAGGATAGATGTAGATGTCTATGGGTCACAGTAACCACTTACCATCAGGCGGACTGTGTGCTCGTTTATCACCCGATCCTATAAAAAAAATTAAGCTAACATCAAACAACCACAAGACGCATGACTTTTTCCAAGTGACATAAGACATAACCTAAAAAGGTTAATCATCAATCTCAGGGTAAAATTCTTTGACAAAGTTACTCAGGGACTGATTATGTATAGAAGTCTGCCATAGTTCTTCTGCGAAAAAATTAAGCATCTGTTTAGTGTGGACATTATATATTGTGGATAAATAAAAGTGTTTAGTGATTAGAGAATAAATAGTGTTTAAACATTTTATTTTTAAGGGTCATAGAATAAAATTAAATAATATAATACTGTCACAGGTCAA